AAAAAAAAAAAAAAAAAAAATTAATCTGGGCTGTGCATAGTGACTTACACCTATAATCCCAGCACTTTCAGAGAATGAAGCAGGAGAACAGCTTGAGCCCAGGAGTTCGAGAACAGCTTGAGCCCAGGAGTTCAAGACCAGCCTGGGCAACACAGTGGGACCCTGTCTCTAAATCAGTCAATTGATCAATCAATCAACCAACCAGCCAACCTACCAACCTACCAACCTACCAGCCTACCAGCCTACCAACCAACCTACCATTAACTGAAGAAATAGCAACTTATTTGTTGAGTGACTGGATGACTTGGGAAGAATAGTTGTAGAGTTTATGTAAACCTCTGAGAGCAACTCAACAAATTTTCAAATTAGATTTTTTAAAAAATATACACACACTGACTCTGTTCTGAAACCTAAGGATTTTTACTTCTTGTTTACTCAAACATATTTCAATCTAATGTGTAATTGTTATGCTGAAATACAGATTTATTAATTTTGAGCTAATGATAATTCATCTTAAAGAACAGAAAGTAATACTTGAAAATAAATTTTTTTATTTCAGATACCTAAATATCAGGCAAACTGTTTAATAAAGGTGTTTGTACATATTTCCGAGGAAATTTGCAATTTTTTAAACAACGGAGAGTTTAGCCAAACATTCTCACTGTTGACGATGAGAACTGTGTGAAACATCTAGATTTTTCTCCAGCCAGCTCTCCATATCCATGAGGGAATGGTTTAGGACCTGTTGCTCTCCGTATCAAAATTTTTGATTGCTCAAGTCCCTTATACAGAATGTACAGTTAGCCCTTCATATCTGTGGGTTTTGATCCACAATTGGTTGAATTCATGGATGCAAAACTCATGGATGCCAAGAGCAAATTTTTTGAAAATTAAAATATTTAAACTCTTCTGATTATAAAATACTGAGTATAGAAAATTTAGAAATGTTTAAAGAAGAACAAAAAATCTGTAATCTCTCAGATATGAAGTTAATTAGTATTACTTCCTTATTGTAGTTCCTGCCAGATTTTTAAGTATGCAATTGTGTTTTTAACAATAAGGGCCCTATTATATACTTATAGTTATATATACTTCTTTATTTGATAACATGAACATTTTCTTATGCTCTCCATTTTAAATGCTGTAACAGGGCCGGGCGCGGTGGCTCACGCCTATAATCCCAGCACTTTGGGAGGCCGAGGCGGGTGGATCACGAGGTCAAGAGATCGAGACCATCCTGGTCAACATGGTGAAACCCCGTCTCTACTAAAAATACAAAAAATTAGCTGGGCATGATGGTGCATGCCTGTAATCCCAGCTACTGGGGAGGCTGAGGCAGGAGAATTGCTTGAACCCAGGAGGCGGAGGTTGCAGTGAGCCGAGATCGTGCCATTGCACTCCAGTCTGGGCAACAACAGTGAAACTCCGTCTCAAAAAAATAAAAAATAAAAAATAAATAAATAAATGCTGTAACATTACTGCATAATTTGCTATCTAATGGATAAGCTATAAAATTATTTCACTATCTGTACTGTTGAATGTTTAAACTCCTTGAGTTTTTACTTTAGAAAACAGTTTTATGGTAAAAAATGATACAGAAAATAAATGAATGGATGAACGAATGATCAAATAAGAAGACAAGGCCAGGCCAGGCATGGTGGCTCATGCCTGTAAGCCTAACAATTTGGGAAGCCAAGGCAGGAGGATTGCTTGAGGCCAGGAGTTCAAGACTAGCCTGGGCAACATGGAGAGACTCTGCCTCCACAAAAAGAAAAAAATCATATGTATTTTACATATATATATTACAATAAAAAAGAAAAAGATGACAAGAACAACTCTGAAGTACCAGTAGTGACAAGCCATTTTGTATAGAAAAAACAGATCCATTTACTTCACAAGCTCTAAAAACTTCACCATATTTCTCTTATGAAAAAGAAAGATGTCTAATAGCATATTTCAGTGAAAATATAACTAAAAGTGGTTAAAACAAAATGTTGATACTTAAAAGGGGCATCTTTTATGGACAGCTTCTTATTTTGTTATGATGATGAAGACATCATTGAATCTCCAGGTAGCAGAGTAATCTAATTCATTTAACTTGAGTCACACCTGAATCCCCTCTACAGAATCCTTGTCAAAAAACCATCTAGCTAACATGTTGTTATGCCTCAGGTGCCTGAGAGTCAACACCTTTTGAAGTAGCACCAATTGCAAGCATCTGTATCATTAGAAAAATATTTTAGATTTCATGGTGCTGAAGCACAGAATCTGTCATTTTTATAATTTTAGCAGCTTATAATAGGTGTTTAATAAATGTACTTTCACTGTAGTTTTCCCTTGGCTATATTGCCCTTCAGATGTTTGAGTGTAGTTATTATGATTATGATTATTTTATTTTTTTCTGAGATGGAGTCTTGCTCTGTCACCCAGGCTGGAGTGCAGTGGTGGGATCTCAGCTCACTACAACCTCTGCCCCCACCCCTGCCAGTTCAAGTGATTCTCCTTCCTCAGCCTCCCCAGTAGCTGGGATTACAGGCACCTGCCACCACAACTGGCTAATTTTTTGTATTTTTAGTAGAGATGGGGTTTCACCATGTTGGCTAGGCTGGTCTCAAACTCCTGACTTTAGGTAATCCGCCCACCTCGGCCTCCCAAAGTGCTGGGATTACAGGCGTGAGCCACTGCACCCAGCCCTAAGTAATCATTTCTAATGCCCCTATGTACTGTTACTACTTTAAATTAAAATAAAATGTTTATAGTTTCTTTTTTTGTTGTATGTTTTTTAAAAATAAAATGAGATGGGTTCTCGCTATGTTGACTAGGCTGGTCTGAAACTCCTGGTCTCAATCGATTTTCCCATCTCAGCCTCCCAAAGTGCTAGGATTACAGGTGGGGGCCACCAGGCTCGGCCCACTTTTTTTCTTTCTTTGGACTATAACTACCTTAAGGGCAAGGAAGGAACTTGTTTCTTTAGTACCCACAGTACCTGCCACTCTTTAATTAACTTGTACTAATGCTTGCCTTGTACCACCCCCTTTCATCCATTATTGCTTGTGTCTTGTCACTCCTGTTTAAGAGCCTTAAGAGGGTCGCCTGTTTCTACCAGATAAAATTTTAAATTTGTAATGTGATATAAAGGATTCTCATCAACCATTTCCTTTCTTTTTTCCAGACTCATGTCTTACATTCCCTTACATGCACAGATTTCACATACTGTGGAACTGTCGTGCTTTCAACATTGCAAACACTGCGTAACCCCGTTATCTTACAATCATTCCATATGCCATTATTTCTACCTGGAATGCATACTCCTCTTTTTCCCTCCTCCCAAATAATCCATTTTCCTTTTTGAGCTAGTTTCTCAAGCCCCTTGTCTGTGATTTTTACATATAGAGTTGCAATATAGTTATTTATTTCCACTGTTACATTGTGAAAATCTCTAGGACTGAATGTCTTTTCTCTCTTAATTCCACATATCCTAATCTGTATCACCCTACATAGTAGATATTCAATAAAGGTTTGCATGAATGAATACATGTGAAATTGAATTTAATGAACTTGTTTGAAGCTACCTAACATTTTCACTTTTTAATTAAATATGTGATTTATTGATATTCCTATGCCTAATTTTAATTTATATATTAAATGTTTTTAGGCCAGGCACTGTGGCTCATCCCTGTAGTCCTAGCACTTTGGGAGGCTGAGGCAAAGGGTTGCTTGAGCCCAGGAATTTGAGACTAGCCTAGGCAACACAGTGAGACTCCATCTCTACAAAAAATTTTACAATTAGCCAGGCATGGTGGTGTGTGCCTATAGTCCCAGCTATTACACACGGGAGGCTGAGGTGGGAGGGTTTCCTGAGTTCAGGAGGCTAAGGCTGCGGTGAACCTTTGCACTCCAGCCTGGGCAAAAGAACAAGACCCTGTTTCTCAAAAACAAAAAAGTTTTTACATTTTAGTGGTTTATTTGATCTACTAAGAACATTTTAATTTTAGGTATTTTCAAATATTTAAAATACAGCTTAAACTATCCTGTTTCCAAACATTCAAAATTTAATCACTAACATTTAATTTCATTTCTCTTGTTTTTATGTATTCAAGGCTTATTGTGTAACAGAACCTGGAGCAGGCTCTGATGTAGCTGGTATAAAGACCAAAGCAGAAAAGAAAGGAGACGAGTATATTATTAATGGTCAGAAGATGTGGATAACCAACGGAGGAAAAGCTAATTGGTATGTTGTTCAAAACATCTTTGTATATTTCTTCTTAATTGTTTTTATCTTCAAATCTCGCTTTTTTATTTCCGTATATTGTTAAACCACTACAGTTAAGGTAAGTTATGTTTGTGGAACTGGACGGTCTATAAGAGATTATAAACAGTTCGGTGATTTTCAAAAACGATTTTTAAGCCCCTGCACTGTTTTTTCAAATTAACTCTCAGAAGTTTAATTTGTAAAATACATATACGTGCTCTGTTTGAATCTGATTAGGAAGCCTAGCACTCTATCTACTTAGCTTGTTATCTCCACTCCTCATCTCCTATGCCAGCCACTCCTTGAAACTTCTAGTGGAAAATTCTGAGGAAAAAGGAAAACCTTTGGTATAGTACATGTCTCTGATTGTCAGAAATAAGCAGAGGCAGTCTTAAAACAGGTTATCCATTAGAGAAGACAGAATTTGACTTTAATAAAATCTGAAAATTTCTAATATATGGTCAAAAAATAATATGAAGTTCAACAAAGGATCAAAAGTCATTTGTATAAATATAAAATATTAAAAACACTTGATTATTTGTTGATAAAACATGAGGAAAGTTCAATAAGTAACTCTTAAGTTCAATAGGAATCAACAGTATGAGCCTTTAAAAAGCTAATGTAATTTTAAGTCAAAGTAATAGAAGTACAGCATCAAATAGGAGAGAAAAAATGGTAACAGTTCTGGGCAACACATTTTAAACCATGTATTGAAAAAATGGACTAAATCGAGAGGCAGGTAAGTGTCTTGCATTAGGAGGATCCTACAAAACATGTTCTAAAAAGCAAAAGCTTGGGTTTTTTGGAAGAACCTTGAAGTTTTTCAAATATTACACAGAAAGATGATCAGGCTTATATGTTTATTTCAGGATGCCAGCTTAGAATTAATGGGTGAAAGTTAGAAAAATGTAGAATTTAGCTCAACATAAGGACAAGCTTTCTAGCAGCAGTACTGTTAAGTTGTCCTGGGTGATAAATACTGTATTTCCCCATCACTTACAAGTATATAGAGAGTTTCTAGAAGAACTTTTTATTGATTAGAATAAAGTACCAAATGGCCTATCTCTCTTTGGGAAAATTCTGATTCAATATATTTGTGTGCCATATAGTATGGTTTTCTAGCAAATGAAACATCATTTTTGGCAAATGAGCCTGCTAAAAATTCATTTAGTTTAAATATATCAATCCATTCCTTATGAGCATCCTAAATATATTCAGTATTATGGAGTGCTATATCTTTAAGCAATTCACGGTAATATCAGCAACTAATAAAAAAGTGAAGAAACTATTAAAATTTAACAAGTTGAGAGAAATGTAACAATGCAGTTTGAAGTTTTTGTAATTTTAAGAATGGATTAGCTAGGTGCAGTGACTCACATCTGCACTCCCAGCACTTTGGGAGGCTGAGGCAGGAAGATTGCTTAAGCCCAGGGGTTCAAGACCAGTTTGGGCAACACAACGAGACCCTGTCTTTACAAAATAAAAAAAAAAAAAAAAAAAAAAAGAAGAAGAGAGCTGATTACAACTGTTTATGTAGTAAAACAAATTAGGTAATATATGAAACCAGAAAACAATTTTTACAATTTTGTTACTATTATTAATATTGAATAAAACTATAGAGTGAGTGGTAATGTATTGGTTTTAAGCATGGAAAATGAGCTTGTATTGTTTAGGGAAGAGTATACCTTTTTAAAAGAATTTTTCATGTACCAGGGTATATAGAACATGAGTTAGACAGATGCTTGGATATTTGCATTATTTTCTTATGTTTCACTTCAAAATTTCTGAGAAAAATTTTTCTGAAGGAAAAAAACAGCAAATATTCATAGTAACTCAGCTATAATAAAAACACTGACTTTGCTGCATAAACAAACAGTAGTTGGAACATATGGGTCTCTGTTTTATATTACTCCTTTTCACAGGCAGCTCTATTTGCCCTCCTTTTCAAGATAGCATGCCCCTTAAAGAATGAAATTCGTTTTGGGAAAGAAAAAGTGCCAGTTTCAACATGCAAAGACTGTCTTGTTATATTACATTATTATTATACCAGGGATTTTTACTTACAACTCATGTTACTAAAACAAAGTTAAATACCATACTGTAGTCCCTCCTTAGCCTTGCAGGATACATTGCAGGACCCCTAGTGGATGCCTGTAACCTCAGAAGTACCAAACCCTATACATACTATGGTTTTTTAATAAAGTGGGCCCAGTAAGAGATTAACAACAACTACTAATAAAATAGAATTATAACAATGTATTGTAATAAGTTATGTTAATGTAGGCCAGGCATGGTGGCTTACACCTGTAATCCCAACATTTTAGGAGGCCAATGTGGGAGGATCCCTTGAGTCCAGGAGTTTGAGACCAGCCTGGGCAAAGCAGTGAGACCTCATCTCTACAAAAAATAAACAACATTAGCTGGTGGCACATGCCCATAGTACCAGCGACTCAAAAGAGGTGAAAGGATTGCTTGAGCCTGGGAAGTCAAGGCAGCAGTGAGCCAATATCATGCCACTATACTTCATCCTGGGCAACAGAGTGAGATCTTGTCTAAAACAACAACAACAACAAAAAGTTATGTAAATGTGCTCTTTGTCTTTCAGAATATCTTGTGTGTACCTGCGGGTAACTGAAACCACAGAAAGTGAAACCCCATGGAATGGGGGAGGGCCTACTGTGTTATTAAGACACAGACCTCAAATACTAGCTCTTCCATATACTAGGTACTATAAGCCTAATCATCTTTCTGTGTAATAATATTTGAAAAACTTCAAGATTCTTCTAAAATATCCAAGCCTTTGCTTTCCAGAACATGTTTTGTAGGCTTCTCCTAGTGACTAGATAAGTTTTTAAACCTGATTCTTTATTTCCTCATTTGTAAAATGTAGGTAAAAATAATTGGGATTGTTAAGAGGATTAACTGAGAGAGCAATCACCATGTTTTATTTGCTGATATTATTATCACCATTATCATGTGTATATATCTCTTAGGTATTTTTTACTGGCACGTTCTGATCCGGATCCTAAAGCTCCTGCTAATAAAGCCTTTACTGGATTCATTGTGGAAGCAGATACCCCAGGAGTGCAGATTGGGAGAAAGGTAAAGTGTTTATCAATGATTAGGACCCCAAATATTATTTTAGTTATAAATTGCAAAATTACTTAACCTTCCTTTAACGAAAACATTTGTTTGTATTAGGTTGGAGTGAAAATAAAGCTGTGTTTTGATATTAGATCAAATAGTCTAAATACTACTGAAGATTTTGTGAATAGTCATTTCAAGTCATTTTGAAAGAGTGGTGCCAACCTATGGAAAAGGCTAATAACAGCTGTAAGGAATAATGAAGTAGAAATCAAGCTATCATTTATATTACCTGACCAATAATAAGAATTTTGGATATTTCAAAGGACTTAACCACTCTTTCCCCGTTGGATCCTCACAGCAACTTTTGGTAGTATAAGCGGCACTATGCCCATTTTACTGATAAAAACAATGACATAATTGAGATGATACAAGGTCATACAACACTAAGAAAAAAGTCTATGCCTGAAAAGAGTGTAGAAAATAGCAAATAGCCTTGAATGTGAAAAGGCAAGAGAATCTCATGTAAATAAGAAAAGGTAATCTAATATACTGTATTTTGAAAAGGGTTGTATTCTGAATATGTGGAGATACATTTGGCATTTAAAGTAAACTAAAAAGAGTTTAAAATTTTATAAATCAGAGTTTAAAATTATACATTTTATAAAGAAGTGTAGGGCTGTTGGGCCCCACAAGGTCGTGGGGTGTCCCTTATGCTGTGCTGAAGTGCAGGATCCGAGAAGAGACAGGACACTGTAGAACTGGTGAAGAGCATCTGGATTTGGGGGCCACACCACTTATGAGTGGAGACAGGCGAGGCCCCGAATGCCCAGAAGCGTCTGTATTTATTACGTACAAGCAGAGGGCAGGATCATGAGTGAGGTTATCATCTATAGACTTAGTGATAGGGCATACATAATCGCGTGAGTCGCAAGCAAGGGGGCCACCCCATTATGTCACCTGGGCAGAGAGGTGGGCCGTGCGCAGTAGGGGGTCATGCTGTGCGCAGTAGTAGAGGGTCATGTACAGAAAAGGGATGCACCCCCATTAGGTCACTAAGGCAAGGAGGTGGGCTGTGTGCAACTGGTGTCCTACGCAACACTTCTTATCTAGGGGCTGGAGACTTCAAAAGGATTTCTAATAGAAGGATACTGTAAGCCAATGCAGTGGGAGCTGACAGACTTGTGCTCTTCTCTTAAGATATTTATGGGAGGATGATTTGAGCTAGCACGGAAGCAAGGAAAGACTGACATGGTGTACAGCCGCAGTGACTGGTCACACCAGAGGGGTTCTTCTCCCTCGGTTATTTCTAGGAACTCAGGCCTGAGGCCTACTTTCTACCAGAACTGGATGCAAGGAATTACAAATCCTTTATCAGGAGGAGAGGCTCTTACTCCAAGCCTACCATACAGCGTATGCCCTTTCAGGCATTCATGCCACCACTTGGGTCTTTGGTTCTTGTCCTGGTCTGGCTGTTTTCCCATGTACTGCTTCTGTTCTGTGACTGCTCTAGGCATTCCTCCTACTACAAACTACTATATGGTTATATGGAAGGATTATATAAATCAGCACTAAATGTGTCGATACAGCTCCGACTACAATACTTATATGATTATATAGAAAGATTATATGAGACTAAGTATGATTATATATATAAGCTAGATATAGTAAACAGTAAGTTATACTTCAGGCACTAATTCTATAAACTAACATATGATTTTATATGTAAAGGATTATATAAAGGAAATAGCTGAGTTATAACACTATAAACTAAGATATTCTTCAGGCACTAATTGTGCCAGAGGTCTGGACAATTCTCCTTCCTCGGTGCCCATGGGGGGGTGTTACCCACAAAGAAGAAAAGAAATGAAGTCATTAAAGTAATATATACATACGTGTGTGTGTGTGTGTGTGTATACATATTTACATTTATATTCCTTTTTTTTTTTTTTT